AAAGGAGTCCTGAGACCAAAAGCCTTGAGAAATAATTCACTCACTATACCAGGCATGCAGTGCTTTATCAGTTAATAAAAAAACCCTCCTTTATATAAACCCTCCCCTCTAAAAGAAAACAACTCATGCCAGGTCCCACCAATCTACAAAAGCTAATATAACAATTATAGACTTAGAGATGGCAAAGACACTAAGAATCTTCTAGACCAACCTCTTCATTTTACAGATGAAGAAACCAAGGTCCTTGAGAAAGGAAGTGACTTGCCCAAGGTCACACAGGCAAAAGTGAACCTCAGGTCATTCTAGTAAGCTAAAAATTTAGGAAGGACATTAATAAGCACCCAGAGAAGGGTGACTAGGATTGTGAGGGAACTGTAGACCATGCATAGGCATGCATATAGGGAACCCTTAAGGTGCCAGCAGCCCTCCCTATAGATGGAGATATCTTTGGGACTGCTTCCCAGCCTCTGGGGACTTCCAACATCTGCAGCTACAGCTGGCACTATTCCTATCTGCTTCCAGTGTTTTGCATGCAGTAGTCACTCAATAAATGCCCATTCATTCATTCATTCATTTGTCAGCTTTCCACCAGCTTCCCTTCCACTAGTGCTTTACCTCTGAGGCTTCTTGCCTTGATCACTGAAGTCCAGGGCCCTTCTGTGACTCTTTCCCGAACTTTCCAAGGCTCAGTGTCACCTGCCCTGATGGATCTTCTACTGGCAGAGCTCAGTTCCTATAAGAGTTAATGGCTATTTCTCCTCCTTCCAGCCTCTAAAAGACCCCCAACTCCTAGTAGGTATAGCCTCCAACCAAGAGGAGAAAAACCCCCAACCCTTGACTCCTGACCACTCTGAATCCAAGCCTGGGCCTATCCCCAGAGTTTGGGTCAAGGTAGCAAAAAGTGTAAAAATGTTGAAAGTGTCAAAGGATGGGTTTCTGGTCACTAGTCCTTACAGTCCACTGCTGGGGCAGCTAGGTGGCGCTGGAGTCAGGAGGACCTGAGTTCAAATGTGACCTCAGACACATAACACTCACTAGCTATGTGACTCTGGGCAAGTCACTTAACCCCAATTACCTCACCAAAAAAAAAAAAAAAAAAGTCCACTGCTGGCCCTTCACAGCAGAGTGGGGTATTTGGCATAAGATAATGGGATCCTGTCAGAAAGATAATCTTTACCCAAGAAGTTGAGGCTAAAAAGATTGCTCTGCATTTTAGGAAGAAAAGAAGGGTGTGATTAAAATGAGCTCTTTGCAAAGTGCACATTTTAAAAGTAAAATTTAGTTGCTCATTTTAAAAAAACTAAATTTCAGTTTCTTTAGTTTGTTTGATGAATATAAATAATATCTTTTATGATTGAACAGTCAACATATATTAACCTTTAAGAAAATAAAATTCCCTACGTGCACACCTGGGGAAGCAGCGTGTTGGCTCAGTGGAAAGAGCATTGGGCCTAGAGTCAGGAACACCTGAGTTCAAATCTGGACCTCAGACAAGCACTAGCTGTGTGACCCTGGGTAAGTCACTTAACCTCTGTTTGCCTTAATCTACCGGAGAAGGAAATGGTAAGCCACTTCAGTACCTTTGCCAAGAAAACCCCATGTACAGTATTGGCATGGGATGGTCCACAGGGTCACAAAGAGGCAGACACAACTGAATGACTGAACAACAAACCAGGGGAACACTCCCATGAAACGTGATGCTCAGGCCTAGGAAATCAGGCCATTGTAGAGCAGTTGAAAGAACTTGCCAGGAAGATGATAGACTGATATCTTTTCTGTATTTGACAGACTCTCATCTGGACGTGGGATTGGACTTTTTTATTGGGTCGCAGGGGGCCAGAAGTAGGATCAGTAGGCGTAGGTTGTAGGAAGGTAAATATAGACTTTAATGTAAGGAAAAACCTCCCGACAGAGTCCACTCCAATAAAGGAGATTTCATTGATGTGGCTATCCTTCAAGCAACACAGATCACAATCTCTTCTCCCTTGGTAGATGTTCCAAACATCGACTATCTGGTGGCCAGATCATTTGGTAATGAGCTCCCCTCTGAATTTAACCAGGCTCAAGAGCACTGGATTTGGGGCTGAAGATTCTGTTATACACCTTGGGAGAGAATAGATTCCCCATCACTGGACATCTTCAAGTTGTTGACCACTTGTTAGGACCCAGATATCAGTTCAATTAGGTGACCTGTGAGGTCCCTTCCACCTCTGAGCTTTTGTGATTCTGTCTTCTGATCTCATCAGCCTAGATAACGCCAAATTAGTCCATCATTTGAACTTAGCCCTTCAAGGCAGGGAAGCTGGACTACTTATACCTGCTGGGTAGAGACCCTTAACTAAGGACCTAGGTTATGCTGATCAGAAATTGGTCAGATCCAAGGATTAATGCAAGGAGTTTTCTTACAATCACATATCTCAAGCAACCCATATGTCTTATCCGAAAACTGGCTCTATACTGATCGATCAATTATTGTTTCCATTGTTCACAGACACTTGGGGGGAATGGGATACTGCTTTTTTGGATTTCAGGGAACTGTATCTGTTCACTTTCTTCCTCTCAACTTCTTGTTATTCAGTTGTTTTTCAGTTTTTCTTGGCAAGGGTACTAGAGTGGTTTGCCATTTCCTTCTTCAGCTTATTTTACAGATGAAGAAACGGAGGCAAACAGGGTTAAGTGACTTGTCCAGTCACACAGCTAGTGTTTAAGGCCAGATTTGAACTCAGGTCTTCTTAACTCCAGGCTCAGCAATCTATCTACTGTGCTACCTAGCTGCCCTCCCAACCTGGAAAGTCCTTTGTATTTCCTCTAATTAGAAATTAGATTACTTAATTTTGTATCCTGATTAACTGTTGTTGTTCAGTGGTTTCAGTCATGTTTGACTCTTTGTGACTCCATTTGGGGTTTTTGTGGCAAAGAAACTGGAGTGATTTGCCTTTTCCTTCTCCAGCTCATTTTATAGATGAGGAAACCGAGGCAAACATGGTTAAGTGATTTGCCGGAGTTCACACAGTTGGTGTCTGAGGCTGGATTTGAACTCAAGAAGATTAGTCTTCCTGACTTAAGGCTTGGCACTCTATCCATTGGACCACCTAGGTGCCCAATCGTGATTATTTTCTTTTAATTAATTAGTCTTATTTTATTGTTCCTAAATGTATCAAAGTCCGTTTTCCCTTGTATTTGGGGTCCAGGCATAAGGTAAGGAGGCAATTGCCATGCATTGCTTAATAAATCTATATACTCCAAAGATCTAGCCTTTGTTTCATCAGTCATTTCATCTTTCACGTGCCACATAAGAAAACCTCACGGCCAGTATGGTCCACAGGGTCAAGAAGAGTTGGACGAGACTGAATGACGAGCAAAGATTTGTCTAATGGGGAAGACAAACGGGATATACAAAGCAAGCTACATGCAGGATAAATAGGAAATAATTAACAAAGGAGAGGCCCTAGAATAGGGCCAGTAGGTGGTTCAGTGGATAAAGCACTCGGCATGGAATCAAGAAGACTCCTCTTCCTGAGTTCAAATCTGGCCTCAGACACTGGCTGTGTGACCTTGGGTAAGTTACTTAACCCCATTGGCCTCCATTTCCTCATCTGTAGAATGAGCTGGAGAAGGAAATGGCAAACCACTCTAGTATCTTTGCCAAGAAAACCCCAAATGAGCTCATGAAGAGTGAGACCCAACTGAAAAATGACTCAGTGCCAGCTAGAAATAAGAGGAAAAGGGTTCCTGTGGAGAAGGTGAAATTTTAAAGCTGACCTTGTCCCTTCCCTACTCTGTAAACTCTACTGACCCACTCCCTATTACTTTCAAGGCCAAATATAAAATTCTCTGTTTAGCATTTAAAACCCTTCACACTGAGACCCTTCCTGCCTTTCTAGTCTTCTTAGTACTTTACCATCCCTACTGACCCAAGGTCCTTTTACAATTTCTCAACTGGGCGGTGAAGACTTGAATCCAAATACAGCTTTCTTTCCAGTAAAAGTCTGCCTTTGTTTCACTTTGTAGAATTTGGGAAGGATGCAGCAAAACACCCAACTATTTGCCATTCATAGGTGTTTGGTGAATTGGGAAAGGCAGACAGGAAAAGGGGAAGATTTACTTATGTTGCAATCACTTAAAAAAAAAAATCCTTTCTAAAAGCTTGCCTAGGGAATTATAGATAAACTAGGGTAACTACTCATCTCCATCCATCTCCACCCCTTCACTCACCCCCACTCAACACTAATTTTAACTCTAAGCTCTACCTGTAACGTTCGAAGTCTAGCTTGCTCTTACTTCAGTTGAATTCCTAATTGGCTTTTAAGACCCAATTCCAAAGCCACCTCCTCTGGGGAGCCTTCCCAGGTCTCCTCAGTGGCTCACACACATCACACCTAGTTATGTCGTTAGTATGTATGATTCGATATTATCTTCCATGTACCTATGTCCCATTCCCCACCAGAGTGGAAGGCGTCTTAAGTAAACTTTGAATTTAAGGGCACCTAGCCCAGAAGGTGCTTAGTAAATGTTTATTAGAAAGAATGAAAGAAAAGGACGCTCCCATCCCTCCCCCACCCTTCTTCTCCCCCAGGGCAGTTTCTCTGACGGTTTTCCTTATCTTCACCTTCCTCTGGTCCAGATCCTAGAATACAGAAGAATGTGGGTAGGATCTGATAACCCCCTTCCTTTCCAGTGCCGCCAAAGTTGGCCCCTCCCTTAGTCAGGAAAGGGGACTGGGCTTTTGAAAGGAGGATGTCATAAAACCTCACCCCACCCCCAGTCTGAGCTGCTGTAGCAGCTGCCAGTAATTCCGTGCCTACCTTACACATCATCCATCTGTAGTTGTGGTTTCACACTTTCTACATCTGGCATCTGTTATATCTGCATCTTATGATCAACTGAATTCAACAAACATTGATTACGCCAGTTGTTATAGCAAACCTAGTACACAGCCCTCAACTGCACATGATAGGCACTATTCAGTATTAGCTTTAATGAATTGAATTTGATCTTACCTACAATCCAGGAAATCCAGTAGAATGTAAGGTCGTCGAGGGCCATCTTCTTCATCGTCTTCTTGTTTTTTGTCTTTGTACCCTTCCCAGAGCCTGGTGGAATGGCATCGATTTAGGAGGAAGCTTAATGAAGGATTTCTCAAAGTGTGGGTCCCTGGGTCCAAGAGATCAAAATCGTTTTCATAATAATACTTTGTCATTCAATCATCTCTGACTCTTCATCACCCCATTTGGGGCTTTGTTGGCAGAGTTACTGGACTGGTTTGTTATTTCCTTCTCCAGCTCGTTGACATATGAGGAAACTGAGGCAAACAAGGTGAAGTGATTTGCCAAGGGTCACCAAGCTAATAAGTGTCTGAGGCTGAATTTGAAGTCAGGTCTTCCTGACGCCAGACCATTGCTCTAGCCACTGCACTAACTAAAATAATACTAAGATTTTAATTTCTAATATGGCATGTCAATAGATCTAACTCATAAACAAAAGAGCTTTGGAGAATCTTCTATAAATTTTCAGAGCGTAAAAGGGGTCCAGAGACCAAAGAGTTTGAGAGTCACTGATGTAATAGATACACTGAAGGACCTAGAGTCAGGAAGACTATCCTCACTCAGGTTGGACCATTGATCCACCATTACTGATTGGGTAACCATCGCTGAGTCACTTTGCCTTAGTTTAGTTGCCTTGGTTTGCCTTCAATTATACACTGGGCATAATAAAAGCACCTACTTCATAGGGTTGTTGTGAGGACCTTCTGAGATGTATTTGTAAAGTACTTAGCACAATGCCTGGCACATAGTAGACATTTAGTAAATAATTGTTTCCCTCCCCCCTCCCATCACCTACCCCTCCCCATAAGTCAAGGATCAAAAATTTATTAAATCAATTTGAAGACTGCTAGGTGGTGTGGTGGATAATGCTGGACCTGGAGTCAAGAATACTCATCTTCCTGAGTTCAAACCAGGCCTCAAATACTTACTAGCTGTGTGACCCTGAGCTAGTCACGTCACCCTGTTTGCCTCAGTTTCCTCATCTGTAAAATGAGCTGGAGAAAGAAATGGCAAACCACTCCAGTATCGCTGCCAAAAAATCCTCAGATTGGGTCATGAAGAGTTGTATGTGATTGAACAACAACAATGACAAAGTCAAGTTGAACTACAATAGGTCCACATGGTCCCCATCTTAGAAATTAGGAACTTGAAGCAAAGAGGGGCTCAGAGGCTTTTTTCAATACCATACAAATTGAACTCAGCCAACATTAAGCACCTACTTTTTGCAAGGCACTGCGGTAGATCTTGCTTATAAAGAAGCAGCTAGAATCCGTGTCTCCTGACACTTCTCTCAGTTCTTTTCCACATAACAATATCAACTTGAGAGCCTTCTGAAAGTCTCAGAATTTATAGGGTTAGTATATAGTTGGCGGACAGGAGAACAGAGTGAGTGGGAAAGGATAGCAACCAGTTGTAGGAGATAGAGCTGTTCTGAGTAAGTGTCTAAACCTCAGTTTCCTCATCTATAAGATAAAAGAGTTAGATCTCTAGTTTTTCTCCTGGTCTCTTTTGCTTTTCCCTTTGATCTATGGCAAAGTAGAAGCAGTGAGGGACTTAAGAGTCAGAAAACCTGGTTTTAAATCATACCTCTGATACTAAGAGGCTATGTCAATAAGCATTTAAGTGATTACTTATGTTCCAGGCACCTACTTTACTAATCCTAATCATTTAGGGCAGCTAGGTGGCACAGTGGATAGAATTCAAATCTTCCTGAGTTCAAATCTGGCCTTAGACACTTACTAGCTGTGTGACCCTGGGCAGGTCACTTAACTCTGCCTCAGTTTCCTCATCTGTAAAATGACCTGGAGAAAAAAATGGCAAACCACTCTGGTATCTTTGCCAAGAAAACCCCAAATATGGTCACAGAGAGTTGTACACAACTGAACAACTAGGCCAAAACCCTAATCACTGGACAGACAAAAATAATTAGGCTCTTTAAGAGCTCCCATGAAGGAGACAATATGTAAAGAAATAGATATATAGAAGATACATGCAGAATAGATGGAAGGGATCTCAGAAGAAAAGCACTAGCAGCCTGGGGAACTGGAAGGACCCCCTTACATAAGTTGGGATTTGAATTGAGTTTTCAAGGAAACCAGGGGAACTAAGAGGTATCAGTGTGGAAGGAGAAAGCATTTCAGGCATGGGGGACAACTAGTGCAAAAGCAGATGGGGAGTCCTGTTCAAGAAACAGCAAGTAGTCCAGTGTCACAGGATCAGAGGGGGCATGGAGGAAAATGGTAAAGAAAAAAGTAAAGCCACAAATGTAAAAAGGCACCAGGTGAGAGAGGGAACTTTAAATGTCAGCCTTCATATTTGATCCTACAGGTAATAGGGAGTCACTGGAGTTCAAGGAGTGAGGGGAGTGACATTGTCAGAACTGAACATCAGCGAAGTTACTTTGGCAGCCATGAGGAAGATGGATTGGAGTCAGGAGAAACTTGAGGAAAGGAGACAAATTAGAAGGTCAGGGCAAAAATAGCCCAAGCAAGAGGTCATGAAAGCCTGACCAAAGGTGGTGGCTATGGGAACAGAAATAAGGGGACACATGAGAGATATTGTGAAGGAAGAAATGATAAGACGTGATTGGATGTGTGGGTGAGTGAGAAGGAAGAATCAAAGATGAAATTGAGCTTATGAGAATGGATAACTGGGAAGATGGTAGTGGCCAAAAAAGTGATAGGTAAGCCTAGAAAAGAGGAGAGTTTGGGGTTCTGTTTTAGACTTGCTGAATAGGAAATACCAATGGAACATCTAGTTCAAGAGGTTCAAAGAGGCAGTTGTTAGTGAGAGTATATAGACCAGCAGAGGGACTAAGACAGGATTTATAAATCTAAGAATCATCTGAATAAAGATAACTGAACTTGTGAGAACTGATGTCACCACATGAGGTAGTATAAAGAGATAAAAGGGCCCGGGATAAAGCCTTGGACTTTACCCATAGTTAATTGGCATGACAGGAATGAAGAACCAGCAAAAGAGACAGTAATCAGATTGACAGTCCAGAGTCAGTAAACACTTACTGAGTACCAACTATGTGACAGTCATTATGCTAAGTGCTGGGGATACAATACAAAAAACCGGAAAGACAGTTCCTGCCCTCCAAGAGCTTACAATCTAAGGGGGGAAGACAACACAGAAAGGAAAGCTGAAAGTAGAGGGAGGCACCTGAGGGTTGGAGGCATGGTGGAAAGGTCAGAGATGCCAGGTTGAGCTGAGCTCCCTCCTTAAACAGAGGTTTTGGGATTCATAGCTCCATTCTTCAACCAGAAGGGCAGTGATGAGGCAGACTCCCAAGCCTGATGGGATGCTGATGGATCCAATGTGATGCTCCAATAGTGAGCATTCTAGGGCATGGTTCAGAATTCAGAGATGTTCTCTAGTAATGCAGCCAGGGGAGAAATAAGGAACAAGGAGGAAATAGGAGAAGATCCAGGAGAGAGCAATGTCCCAAAAACCTAGAAGGAAAGAATAGCCAGGAGGAGTGATCAACAGTGCCACGTTGTACAGAGAAACCAAGAAGGATGAGGATGGAGAAAAGGCCATTACGAGATCACTGTGAATGTTAGAGAGAGCAGCTTCAGTCGGAGAAGCCAGAGGGTGTAGAGGAGAAGCAGAGGCAGTTAGTATAGACAGCTTTCTCTAGGAGTTTAAGAGGAGAAGAGATACAAGAAGATAGCTAAGAGGGATGTGAGTCATTTAACATCTCTTCACTTAAACTCTTTGGATTAGATGACCTTTTAAGGTCCCAGATTCTAACTCTAAACATAGGATCTTGTGATCTTAAGACTAAATCTTCGGGACCTTGGGTTTTTAACCCAGAATCACAGAGCAGACCTACTAGATTTTTAATTTGTACTCAAGATTTATAGATACTTCGGACAACAGCAGCCTCCAAGATCCCTTCCAACTCTCAATCTATGATCTTATGATCTACGGAAGGCCGCCAAATTCCTTGAAGTTCCTTAGCCTGGGACTCTTAAATGCAGTCTTACTTGTGCAACCTGGCCCTGGGCACCGAGCCAGCAGGGGGCATCAATGAGCTTTTGCCATTTGCCAAAAGACAATTCCAAGACCTACTATTTGGGTCTTCCACCGCTCTTGGGCTAGGAGACACAATTCCAACGTGATGATGCCTGACCCAGACAGCCTAGTTAGTAGCCGAAGAGTTTGCAGGTCGTTCCTGTCCACCATGGGGGAAAGAGGGGGGCCTAAAGGGAGCTGATGATTCACCTTTTAGGAGGCTCTGGGGAAAGAGAACACAATGGCTGAGGTCACTGCCTGGAAGTGGGTGGTAAAAGCTTCTGGGTGACCCACAGGGTCTCTGGACAGCCCCTGGAGCTCTTGTCTGAGAGATGGGGCTCTGTCAGGAGCTTCTGTTTGGAGTTTCAACAAATATCTTTTCCATCATATCAACCTTTCCCCCGATTCTACTTCTAGGCAGAATAATTCCTTACCTTACCTAGCAGAGAGACTGGCTGTCTGAAGATCCCTAAAGAAGAGAGCTTAAGGAGGGAGAGTTTTGCAGATTTTTGTTATAGTGGGTAGTGCTGCCTCACTCAGTTTAGGGGAGGCAAATTGGACTCATGGTTCTAGCCTACTCTGGTTGGAGTCTAGAAGAGGACCCAGGGTGAGGGGTAGAAAAGAGAAGCCTGCATTCTCAGAAGCATACTTGGGGCTGCCAACCTACTCTCTCACCACTGTTAGGATTTTAATTGGCATTATTCAGGAAAAGCCAAGTTGGAAAATTAAGTTTGAAATGGAGGGAGGAGCAAGATGGGGGGTGGAGGGGTGGGAGAGGGGTGGGATTCAAAGTAAACAGCTCTCAGATGTGTTAGGCAAGGAAAAGGAAAGCCCTAGCTAGAAAATTCCTAGTCTTTGGCCACCTTAGTCTGGGAAAGGTCATAGAGGCAGAGCTGGAAAGGACCTCAGAGGTCACCTAGTATAATCTCTTCATTTTGCAGATGAGAAGAGTGAGGCCTGGAGACATTAAAAGACTTTGCTACGGTAACACAAGTAGTCGGTGGGGAGTTTGAACTCAGATCCAACGTGTTTTCCATCGTAGTGTGCTACTTCTCTTGTTTCTTTTTTTGTCAGTCAATAAGCAACAACTATTTATTACAAGTGTGTCGGGCACTGTTAAGTGCTGGGAGATACAAGGAAAGGTAAAAGACAATCCCTGCTATCAAGGAATTTATAGTCTAGTGGGGGAGACAACATAGAAACAACCATGCACAAGCGAGATACAGGCAGAATAAATTGGGGATCACCCACAGAGAGAAGTCACAAGCATTTAGGTATGTGTTTGTGTGTGGAGGGAGGCATATGTTGTTATCTGGGAATTGAGGAATTATTCTGATAATTATTATAGAGTTGAAAGGGACCTTAGAGCCCACCCATTTTACAGTTAAGAAAATAGATGGCCAGAGTTAGGCAAGACTTGTCCAAAGTGATGCCCAAAGTAAGTTAACGTCAGAGTAGGAACTGGAACCCAGGTCTCCTGGGGCCCAATCTGGTCCTCTGTCCACATCCTCTTTTCATTCTTAGAAAGGTTACCCAAAGTTCAGGGCAGCTCCATGGAGGCACCTCTGAGATCTGAGCTGTTCTCGAGATGTCCAGAGCTGGTGAAAGTCAACAGGAGTGGTGCAGGTGTTTCCTAACTCTTTATGGCATAGCCGTTCTGCTCTTTTCACTCTGATTGAGAGGCGAGGAGCTCTCTCCTTCTGTTTCCCATTCTCATCACCCTGACCTTGGGGGATAGGGTGAGGGGAAGGAGGAGACTTGAAGAGATCCAATTCTGCTAAACCTAGGTATGCCATCCCTAGCATATGATCCAGGAATTTCCCTGAAATCTGTTCCTGTGATGTAAGCAAATTCCCCTGTCAATCACTCTCAGTCTTTTGTAGAATTTCCCTTTGGGGTGGAGGTGGACTGTTGGTTGTAGGGAAGCATTGAGTTTCAGAGATTAGCATCATTTGCTTGCTATTCCTGGCTCTTCTGCCTGCCTCCTGGGCATGACTTATATAGACTGCTTGCCAGGTCAAAGACACCCACCTTGGTCTAAATACTAATGTTCATTTCCTACATGGGCCAGCACTAAACAGATAAGGCTTAGAAAGGAATCATCAAGATACCCTGGTTTGGGTTATAGCCAAGTCATGGGTCCTAAGAGGTAGTCCTGTGATTGAATATTGTTTAGGTCAGAGGTCTGTAAAAACTTAAACTACCCTTTGGTAGTTTGGTGAGTGAAACCTACTGACCCTTTCTCAGAATAAGATTTTTTAAATGCATAAAATAGAATACATAGGATTACAAAGGAAACCAATCATATTGAAATAAATGTCATTTTCCCATCCAAGTTCATGGGCTTGAATCACTGACTGAAATCTATCTCATGACCCCCCAAGTTAAGAATCTCTGGTTCTTAATGGAAAGCTGGAATGGATGAGGGGAGTTCCCTGGCTGGGGCAGAATTAATGGAAGCCTGTACCCTATCCACACCTCAATCTAACTGATAAGGTTCATGATTCTTAAATCTACAGTCCTATAAGTTGTAGAAGATCATAGTTGGTGGGGGCAAGAGGGTGGGAATGGGGGCCTTACAGACCAGTGAGGGTCAGAAACATAGCTTGGTGTTTTAGAGCTGTAAGGAACCTTAAAAATTCCAGACCAGTGATAGGATCAATGAGTTGATGCCACATTGCAACCGATGATAAAGAAATGGTGAACCACATCAAGGTGGCCAGATCAAAGGACTATAGGGGATAATGAGTTCTCAACACTGGTCAAATTCCCCGGGAATTCTTACCTAGCCAAGTTATCTACTTCATCTAAAGAATTTCACATTCTGTTTCAGAGTCCCCAGAGTGGAAAGGGGCTTACCGGATTCCTCCAGGGCATGGGGGAAGTGGGTAAGGACTCCTAACAGATAAGAGTGAAACCAAGGTCAAGCAATAGACCAGGTCTCCTAGGCAGGTCAGAGCAAAACTAGGAGCAGAACCCCTGGTCCTCAAACTCTTTGGCTACCATGCCTTCCCAGGTATCACAATGCCTCCCTAAACTCGCAATTCATCTTGATAGTTTGCTAAACTCAGGGATCATAGGGACATAGATTTAGAGCTAGAAGGGACCTTAGTGGCCATGAGGGACATGCTCATGAAATACTTAACAACAGGATGCCAAAAAACAAACAACTGTATGCATGACACTTCTGAGTTTAATCTGAATTATTAATATTTTTTCATAACTTTCTTAAGTCTAAATAATCAACAAAACAATAAATAAAACCCAGATTAGTAACTTTTGTAAATTTCTGGGGCATAAATGCTCACATTCAAAATTTAACAATCAGAGGCAGCTAGGTGTGGTAGTGGATAGAGCACCAGCCCTGGAGTCAGGAGGACCTGAGTTCAAATTTGGCCTTAGACACTTACTAGCTGTGTGACCTTAGGCAGTTAACCCCAATTGCCTCAAAAAAAAAAAAAAAAATTAACCATTGACTTTCAAGATCCTGGCTTTCCAGCTGACTCCAGCACATTCCTGGAGACCATCAGGTCCAACCTCCTCATTTTACAGATGAGACTGAGGCTGATGGATGTTAAGTGACTTGCCCAGGGTCACATAGCTAGTAAGTAGGTGACACAGAATTTGAATACACGTCTTGCTGTTGCCAAGCCTATGGTTCTATATACTGGTTCACCTACCTGGTTCACTTTCGCACAGGCAAGATGGTTGAAGGTGTTATCCTGTCTATCAGTGTAGGGAGCAGTGGGAGTCTGAGACTGAATTGTCTCTGGGGTATGCTCTGGACTGGTTGTCTTCTCTTCCCTCTATTTAAGGGCAATAAGAGCATCTGACTACAAAATGGTACATGAGTCACCAGGATTTCCCCATTTCTGTGCATGGTGGCTCCCTCACAGAACAGTCAAGGCTAACCCCTGCCCTGGTTCCTACAACCAATAATCATAACAATGGCTCTTTATGATTAAAAAGTTTTCCTTACCACGAACCAGTGAGGAAAATAATGTAGGTGTTAACATCTCAATTGAACAGAGTGGAACTGAAACAAGTGACTTGCCTAAGGTCACACAGTTTTTCTAACTCCTGAATCCAGGGCTATTTCCATTATTCTAGGAGACATTCCTCCTCCTGTGAAAGGAGTTTGGGAATAGGAAAGAGGACAGATACTCACAGGAATCAGGAGATGACCCCTCTGGGAGGCTGGTCTGCCTACAACCCTTACCCTGAAGCCCCCCACACTGACTTGCTCATCGTCCCTGATGGATTCTGGAAAGCACAGCTGGAGATGTCATCTTGGGCTTCCACCAGCAGCTGCTGAAATCCATCCAGAGGACTGTGGTTGAATGGGGGAAAGGGGGAGAGGGGGATCCCTGCAAGGAAATGGACTAGAGATTGATGTCCCCCATCCCAATCGTCCCCCCCAAGATGCAAGGTTAGTAGGAATGGGAAACATCTACAGAGCATTTTTGTCTGCGGGATGAAATGATGTTGGGTCTATAGGGAAATAAACCTAAAGCCTTTGTATCAGCTGTGGGCTAAACTAGATAACTCTCGGGTCCTTTCCAACTGCGTTATAAATTCTGTGACCTAACTTCATCCCTTCGGACTCAGAAAATAGAGAGAAAGGACAACAGAGACTGGACAGATACAAGCTTTTCTCCTTCTCTTCCCCTAGCCTTCATTTTGCTTTCCGAATTTCCATATTATTCACTCTTTCCCTCCTTCCCAATCTCTCTCTCTCTCTCTCTCTCTCTCTCTTTCTCTCTCCACCAGCCCCCTTCCCTCACTCCAAGAGACACTTGGCATAGTAGAAGAAGCTGAAAATGGAATGGTCTAACTTTTTTCAAAGGCTATAATGAATCCTCCAGCCTTTGAGTTTTTCAAGTGGAGGTCAATCAATTGATTCTCCATTTAGGAATGTTACAGACTAGATTTATGCTTTGGATATGGATTGGATCAGATGACATCTGACATCTCTTCCAGACTTGTTTTTCTATGAAAGTCACTTGACCTTTCTGGGCCTCAGTTTCCTAATCTGTAAAAATGAAGTGCTTGGATTAGATGATGTCTGAGGTCTTTCTGCCTTTGCTATTCTACTGATCTCAAAGAACCATTGTGAGGGATGTGCCTTATAAACTGTACAGACCTATAGAAATGCAAACTATGTTCCATGATGTAGTTTTTTCCAGGGGAAAAGGTGAGTCCTGAAGTCATCTCACACCAGAAGCATTTCCCTCTGTCAGTTTTCTGATGTTTTTTTTTTTTTCTGTCCAATGATGATACTTGGATTGTTAAGAATATTCACAGGCACTAAAAGTCTACTTCAATCAAAGAAGGTACTAATGATGCCAGGGTTTTGAGAAATCCAACAATTAACAAGCCTCTATGCTTGAGTACATGCTATATACTACTCAAACCACCAGGCATACAAACAATAGGTGTGGGGACTAGGCTTACCATTCCATTAATAATAGGGAACTCAAGTAAGAAAAACTCACCAAATGCAGGTAGGCACTTCCAGTGCTGCAACTGAGTGCTTTTACCAAAATTTAACATTTATTAAGCACCTACTATGTGCCAGAGGCTAAGAATTCAAAGGTGAAACAGCAGTACCATGCAGGAGTTCGCAATGTACTGGGGTTAGACATGAGAAATATGACCAGCACACAGATAAGCACAGCACAAGGTAGAGGTGATGGGAGAAAATGAAAGGTCCATACCACAATGCTTTCTGAAAATTTGTATGAAGATGTCTTTTAACTGGAGGGAATCAAGACTTCAAGGAAGAGGCCAGGTTTCCTAAAGGTTTAAAATAGGGGTTCTTAGTCTGAGGTCTGTGAATTGGTGTGCATTTTGAAATATGCCTTTCTATTCCTATGTGCTTTTTTTATGCAGCTAAAAGAATTATTCTGAGAAAGGGTGGGAGCGACCGCTTCATCAGAATGCCAGAGGTCCATGACAAAAAAGGTTAATGACCTCTGGTTTAAAAGATTGATATCCCGTCCCCTCCCCTACGTCCTCCATTAGAAAGCACCAGCACAGCTGAAGGGAGCTGCTGACATCATGACATCATCCTACATCGCTAGGGAAAACCTTACAATGAGCTCCCAAATGGAGAGTGTTTAACATTGTCCAAGCGCCACGAAGTGAGCGGTTTAACTTGATGGCTGGGAAATTCCTCAGTCCTTTAGAATCAGCAGCCCTCAGTTAATTCTCATGACTGCCCCCAAAATTCCCCCCTCCACTCTCTGCTAGAATCCTTCGTCCCCCTCCTCCCTTTCTTCATCCCTGGTTTCTGAAGGCCAAGAGGGCAGGACCTTCATTGACACCTTTTGCAGTCACACTGAAAGGGGAGGAGGGAGTCTGGGGCGAAGACAGGGATGAACCAATCGAAGCAACCGGAGTCACGTGCGGCCTGGTAGCTGACCAATGGGTGATTGAAGGCGGGGCCAGGCTTCAGGGGGCTTGTAACTTTCATTAGAACTTGGAACTTTGAGTCTCAGTCAGTTTCTTCGATTTGTAAATTTCGTTCTCCGCCTCTAGGCAGCTTACACATGTGCCCCGGGCCCCTGCCCAGCTGAGCTTTCCCGGTGGTGGCGGCTGCTGCTTTTTCTCCTTCGTTCTGAGCTACGTCCCCAGCGTCTCCGTCTGCTTCTCCTTCCTCTCTCCATGGAGCCTTTCACTTTCCCCAAACGCTCCAGCCTGGCTTCCTCCGCTTCCGTGGGTCTCGCCTTGCCTCTAGCAGACGGGCTCATTAAGTCTCCCAAGCCCCTGATGAAGAAGCAGGCGGTAAAGCGGCATCATCACAAGCACAATTTGCGGCACCACTATGAGTTCCTGGAGACCTTGGGCAAAGGGACCTACGGCAAGGTGCAGAAAGCGAGAGAGCGATCGGGAAGACTGGTGAGTCCGGGACACTCGGCTTTGGCCGGGAGGGGGGAGTCTACGCAGCGTGCGCAGAGCCTGAGTGATAGGGAAGGAGACCGAGTGACGGAGAGAGCCTGGACCCTATTTAGATGCCCAGAGCCATCAGTGAAAGGGTGAGCGAGACCTCTTCACCCATATCCTCTGAGAAAAAAAAAAAATCCAGCCATCTGGATTCGATAAGCAGGGAGAAAGGGGATGAGAAATGTATTCTTGAAGTACCTACATGGGTACCTTTGAATATTCCCTCTCAAGGATGGTAGAGAGTAATGATGTGCTTTAATAGAGAACATCCCTGATCCCTGAGATCCACCTGTCAGTCCTCAGCAAGGGCGGGTTGCTCGCTGCCTATGTGGAAAAGTATGCTGTCGCCCCATTGTCTCTTGGTTTCTCTTTTCGGGAGCTATCCAAGCTCAATTTAAAGACAAGCCTGCCCCCATCCCCTTTTGCGTGAAGAAAGAAAAGCGGGGATTGCAAAGGACCTTTGGGGACTGTGGGTGATGAGCCAGAGGACTTCTGGGGATTGGGTTAGCAGGGAATCTGCTTTGTGTAAACTGGTTTCTAGAAGCGCTGAGAGTGGGGGCTTCAGTATCCCCTCTAACTAAACCTCGGGGAGAGAGGAGATTCTTCAGCATAGTTCACACTAGGTCCCTGAGATCTGAAAAAGAAGAGGCCTCTGGTTATTTGGAGTGGAAAGTACAAAACCCACTAAAGAAGAGATTCTATTAGAAGGTTGTGGGGATTTCTGATGGTTTTTTGGTTTTGTTTTTTAATGTCCTTAAAGGTCAAGGTTTACCACATTGGATCTGACCCCAGTCTCCACCCCTTACTTGGTGTTTGCTGCTTTTGTTGTTAGTTGCTGATTTGAAATGCAAAAAGTCATTCATTGGTGAAGGAGGGAGATGGCTGGAGATGGGTGGAGATGGGGGGTGGATTATGGACCAATCAATAGAATTGTGTGTGTGTGTGTTTTCACTTCTAATGTCTGGCACAGTCCCCAGATTCAGGCTGCCAACTTGAAGCTGTTGGGCAATACTGTACTTAACTTTTCTTTCTGTTTCTGAAGTATGAGGGCCAAGTGAGTAGGATCCGGGTTTTGAGATTACCTGGTCTGAGCCTTTTGTCTGCCGTTCTTGGATTGAAACGAGTTTCTCATGCCACTGCCTCCTTCCCCTCTTCTTGACCCCCAAAGAGAGCTGTATTTTTAAGGTCCCAAGAACCTCTTCTCTTCCTCCAGTAGGGAGAACTAAGCAGCAACAGAATTTCGAAGTTTATGAGTAGTGCTGGGTACCAACCAGACCTTCTGTTCCATAGAATTTGGAGCAGCTGTCTCACAAAGGTCATCACCAGATGTTTTTCTTGGGGGAGTGATACCTAAACTTCATATCCAAGACTAGATTCCCACCTTGAAAATAGCTATCTAGCTGTGGATATAGGCTCTCAATTCACAAGGCATGGGCTCAGTCCCTGGGAAGAAGAGGGATTTTTCTTCAACCTTCTGGTGCCAACCATTTCAATCAGTCAGCAATCATATTTAGTAGTGCTTACTGTATGCCAAGGGGGGCAGCTAGGTGGTGCAGTGGGTAGAGCACTAGGCCTGGAGTCCCAAAGACTCACTTCCTGAGTTCAGATATGGCCTTAGACGTTTGCTAGCTGTGATCCTGGGCAAGTTCCTTAACACTGTTTGCCTCAGTTTCCTCATCTGTAAAATAAGCTGGAGAAGGAAATGGCAAGCCTTTCCAATATATTTATTCTTTTTTATATAAATAGTATTTTATTTTTTCCAATTACATATAAAGACAATTTTTAGCATTCTTGAATATCTTTACCAGTAAAACTGAGTCACCAGAGTCAGACAGAACAAAACAACTAT